GGATTGCTTGAGCCGGATGTTGACGTTGCTGTGAGGCAGGCTGACCCCAGGAGCACCACCTAGCCTGGGCAACAAAGCGAAATTCTGAAAAAAAAAAAAAAAAAGCAGGATGTACCCATACACACCTAACTACAGTGATTCTACTTTAAAGATGAGCAGTTAAAATAACACATGTATGTAGCAGATAAATATTAAATACCTGTTCTGTGATACTCTAAAAGGAAGTATAACAATCTAGTGGTTTTTCAAAAATTGTTGCAAATGAGACACAATGTATCATGTGCACTGCTTACTTCATTTTCTTGTCTATGTAATAAAACTATTCAGTAGAGTTGGCATGATGTGGATAGTAACTATAATTCTTCTGATTTTTTGGGCCAAGTGTGAGAAGCTGACCTTGAAATGAGTCCTAAAGACAGCAGCAACCTGAAAGATGTTTTATGAGTACTTAGGAAATTTTGGAGACTTGTGAGGTGATTGTCTAGATCCTATAGCAGTAGCTTTTTCAGCAATTCTAGAAAGAGGTTTTGGGAATTGAAATGTAAACGTATGTTCCGTTTCTCTCGTTTATAAATAAGCAAATAAGACACAATATATCATGTGCTTTGCTTACTTCATTTTCTTGTCTGTGTAAACTGTTCAGTAGAGAGGGAAATCTCCTTACACTGTATTGTGTTATATTTTAGGCTTCTTAAGTAAGCACACAGATGCCATGCTTATTTTATCTGTTCTTTTTAAAAATCATATTGTTCATTTATAAATTTAAAAACATTTAGTTTTTATACCTTTTTATTTGTTTGTTTGTTTGTTTTTTGGTTTTTTTTTTTTTTTTTTTTTTGTTGGGCTCAAGCAATCTTCCTGCCTCAGCTTCCTGAGTAACTAGGACTACAGGTGTGAGTTAACACATGTGGTTGTTCAGTTCATTGCTATCATCTGTCCAGAGAGCCCAGATTAGAGCAGGACAGAGGGTTCCTGGACAAATGTGTCTAGGGAAAAAGGTACAGGTGAGGTAGGTAGACTGACAAGTCTGATCATTTAAAATTTCAGCAAAAAGTTAACTGTGGTAAAATATATTACTTGGATTAAAGAAGTAAATCACTATTTTTCACAGAAGGAAGAGAACAGGTCATATCTGAAACTGAGAAACCAAGAAATCAGAGCATAAGTATCTTAGGTATAAATATGGAGATAAATATCAGAGGAAACATACAATTGTCGAACATGGCTTTCTTTTTCTAGGTAGCAGGAATTGGGGTGGGCAAGGCCACCTGATGTCACTTATTTGTCTACTTTGGAGATGGAGTGTATGCCAGACTGGACTTAAATTATGGCTACAAATTTTCTGACACTCCTCTCACTGAGAAGTGAGGTTCTGTGTCCCCTTCGAGTTAGAGAGGGTTCTGTGTCTGTTTTGATCTGTAGAATACAGTGGAAGTGATTCTGAGACTGTTTCTGGTCCAGGCCTTAAAAGACTGGCAGCATTTACTTTCTGCCTGTGGGAAAGGTGCCCCTAGAACCAAGCTGCCATGCTTTAAGGAAGCTGATGGACAAGCACTGAGTGAGCACGCCACCTTAGAAGTAGATTCTTTAGCTCTCCCAGAACTAACTATCCCAATGACACCACCTGGTGCAGAGTTGAGCAGTACCGAGAGAGTCCTGACAAAATGGCAAGAATAAATGATTGTTACAGGGATGGCTTACCATGCAGCAATAGTTAAAAAGGTATAAATGTGATCTACATCAAGAGAAGGTGGAATATTTGAATTATTTATCCTGCTGAGTAGTTGTTCCCATTCTCATTGAAGTCTAAAGTCTTAGAAACACAGGAATTAGAATAACTCTAAGTTACTTAGTTCCTTGGACTCTATTTATTAAAAAAAAATAAACAACATATAGAGCACTCATTATGTGCTAGGCACAGTTCTAGGCAGTGGGGACATGATGGTTAACAACCAGATGCGATCCTAACGCTCAGAGTTTATATTCAAGCAAGATGTAAATCAGTAAATACTAAGGTAATTTTAGATACATCATGGTTCAATGATAGTCCCTGGAACTGTCAATGTAACACTACTTCATATAGAGTCCATTTTGATAGAAGATACACCTGTGTTGCATCCTAGCAAGGTTGGTTTATGAATGAATATTTAAATCTGTTTTCTATCTGGACTCAGTGTCCTGACTCCTAATTATAACTACCTATCTTTTAGATACTTGGTATTTTCCAAAAACCTCCATCTAACTAGAATTTTGGGATTCCTGGACCTGTGTCCATTATGTTGCTCCTTAATTCCTAAGGCCAAGGACAGGACAACTCTGTATTTGACTTCTTTTCCTGGTCCTCACAGAACTCTCATATGATATTGGGTCTGAAATGTCTGCATTTCAGTTAGCTATTCATCAGGACCAAGTGTAGAAGAACTCAATATTGACTTGTAATTCATCCTTTTATACAATTACAGAGTGGAGGTAAGGTATATTTGACACAATCAGAACTACTTCCAACTAGCCTATAATTTACATGAAGCCTAACTTGGAAAACATAAGTGCTTTGACCAATTTATTAAAAAAGGCTTCATGCTATCCTTGTATCAGAAGTTGTTCATTAGTTATTGAGGATGGAGGCAAAAGATTATATATAAGAAGTATTCTGGGGGACTCTTGGTGCTTCATTTTTAAAAAGTTCAGTTTAATTTTTTGAAGTAATTACTTAGGAAGAAATACAGAGGCATTCCACAGAAAAAGATGGCAACCAGAATATATTCCATCAGCCAGATTTTGACTATTCCTTTACTCAAATTTCTTCTTTGTCAGCTAAAACTATTTTCTGGGTCACTTTCCTTACATGAGCCTTGTTCACATTCAGGATCAGCACCAATGTGACATTTATTACTTTGGTTTCATTTTTCTTTTGGCATCTTTGTGTTTCTTCCGACAATCCTGAAAATCATATAATTGAAAGCTTTGTTAACAATAAATACAAATAGTTTTCAAGTTGTTCAGTAAGTATAAAGTAAAATGTAGGCTGTTCTCATTGTCAGTAAAGTGGAAACTCATTTTGGAAATGCTTATTTGAAATGAACAGTGAATATTCAAACTTTTGGCATTGCTTATACTGGGAACAACAATTCAGTCTTTAAAAATCTCATGATTTCCTGTTACTTAATGAGTCTGACTCTAGGCCCAGGCACTCATTCCAGCTAGTCTGCAGTTTCCTCACCTGCACCATTCATGGGTTGAATCAAACACACCTCTAAGTTCCTTCCAGCACTGTAATTCTGAGAATTTAAATCATGTTCTCAGTTGTTCATACTTCTCTGTCTAAATTTTCATAGCTTATTTCTTTTATTCTTACACCAGGGAAATATCAACACAAAGATGATACTATATCTATTTTAGGAAAGAATCAATATGAAGAAAAGTTACTTACCGTACGTAGGCTGTTTGTTCTGGCCTCCCAAGAATTCTTGCTAATATTATCTCCCACTCCTCTCCAGAATAAGTCAGAACATACTAGGAAAACAAGAAAGATAGGGCAGCAAACTACTATTAAAATGGGCTATATTCTAGCATTGGCATTATCCCAATTCTAGATAAGATCATTTTGTGTTCAATTTCTACCAATTTTCAAAAATAAGTGTTATTTTGCAAAATGAAACATGTAGTATTGCTAGGATTTTATTGTTTATATCTATCGTTTATTATTACGTAACTTTGTTACTATTCACGCTAGGCTTTAAGAAATGAAGAGTTTAAAGCACCACAGGTTACTCACCAGCAAATTGATATTAACAGATCAACACCTAAGTGGACATATAAGGAATAACATTTATCGGGTGTACAGGCAGGTGGGGACGTGGGAAGGAGGGGATGGGTATAATACAAACACAATGAGTAAGATGTGCAACGTTCGGGGGATGGACATGCTTGAAGCTCTTACTCGAGGGGGGGGGGCATGACCAATATACTACGTAACTTTAACACTTATACCCCATAATATGCTAAAATAAAAAAAAAATGAAGAGTTTAGCTGGGTGTGGTGGCTCCAAGCCTGTAATTCTAGCACTTTGGGAGGTCAAGGTAGGAGGATTGTTTGAGGCAGAGTTTGAGACTGGGCTGAATAAGAGCAAGACTCTCTCTCTATAAAAAACAGAAAAAAATTAGCTGGATGTGGTGGTACGAGCTTGTAGTCCCAGTTACTTGGGACGCTAAGGCAGGAGGCCTCACTCAAGGCAGGAGTGTGAGCTAGAATGACACCACTGCACTCTCACCCAGGAAATAAAGCAACACCTGTCTCAAAATAAGAAAAAAAAAAAAAAAAAAAAAGGAAAAAGAAATGAGTTCAGCAACAGCCTCAGAGTTTTCATGTGGACTTTTACAATATTAAAAACTTAGGGGTTTTGATGTCTAACATCTAAGAAAGTCCCTGGAATAATAACAAGCCCTTGTTGGTGATAAGGAGTAGAGCAAGGACCATGTGAGTAGGGAGCTTTCAACCCTTGAGAGCTTTTTAAGTCAACATGATCAGCACAACAGAGGGGACTAACCACATGATACTACAAAGAGTCAGAAGTTCTGAATGTGAGTTAACTATATCAGATGTACAATGATCAAGAGCTGTACTAATTACCTGTTCTATTATCATTTTTATGAAAAAATATGGACTTAC